TTTCCCACAACTTCTACGAAATGCCTTGCTAGCTAGCACCTAGCCCAAAAACAGCCTTGCACCCCTACCGCCCAGAACCCCTGAAGAAACCTAAATCCCAAAGTCCTGAGTCATCCAAGCTGCTAACGCTCGCAACACCGAAAACCCTACATCCCAAAGTCTTGAATGTGAAAGCCCTAAGCCACACATACACCAAGACCCCGAACCCCAAAGCTCTGAAGCCTTGAAACTCTAAATCCCTGAACCCCTAAACCCCTAAACCCCCTAAACCCTTAAACCGCTGAACCCCTGAACCCTAAGCCCTAAAGCAGGTTCAGCTCTCACGGGCCCTGGTCCGCGTGCCTTATGCCTAGAACGCCGGACTTTCGGGTTTAGGGTTCGGGGTTTAGGGTTTAGGGTTTGGGTTTATGCTTTGGGGTTTAGGGTTTAGGCGTTTAGGGGTTTAGGGTTTAAGGTTTAGCTCTCAGGGGGGCCAGGGATTGAGGTTTACGCTTTAGTGCTTTGGGGGGGTTGTTGATGTACATGCATATCCGGGTTTCTTTGGGGTCCTTTCAAGGGTGCTCATCATAGGAGTGACGTGCTGTCCCAAAGACCAAAGGCCGCTTGATTTGGGCAGCAAGCTGGTAAGTAGCATGTGTTTATATTACTCATACCAACTTCGTAGCATTGTAGCTTTCTAGATTCTACATATCATCTGTATCGAGGACGGAGAGGCAAACGTACGAAAGAGGTCTGGGTTTCGGGATTTAGGGTGTCGTGTTCATGTAGCATGTGTTTAAGAGTGCAGACTTTTGTTGTGTTCAGGCGAATCCTAAACCCTAAAACCGTAAACCCTAAGCCCCAAAATTCCAAAGCCCTGAAATCTTAAACCCTGAACCCCAAGCCCTAAGCCCTATAAACCCTAAGCCCTAAACCCTAAACCTGAAACCCTAAACCCTGAAACCAGAAGATCCTGAAATCCTCGAGCCCTGAAGCCTATAGCTCCAAGAGCTCCCAAACACGCCGGTCTCTGAATTCTCTCAGAGACCGTATACCGCCCCCCCACTCAGCCACACTTGAACAGTATGTATAACATAAATATATACGGCCATTAAATGGTAGCCCGGTTATAGACTGTTACAATATGGGTTGTTCTCTAGATTAGGGTCCCTTGTTAGGTCCCCAAAGTATTACGGCACGCTTATGAAAAGGACCCCCAAAAGAAGAACCCTAAATGAGACAACTACCCACATAGAATCCTCATATAGCACCCTTATAGGACCCAACAGAAACGCTTATAGACCCTTCAACCCTAAACCCCAAAAGGGACACTAATTATGGGCTGTTACTCTATGGGGGCAGTGCCCAAGTCCTGGAACTCCTATCGTACCCCTGTAGAAACCCGACAGAAGACTTTCCGGGATCCTTTTAAGGAACCCTAAGAACCCTAAGAGTCCTAAACTTTAAAGAACACCACAAAAAAGAATAAAACCTGAAGAACCCTGAAGAGCCCTAAGAGCCCTAAACCCTAGGACCCCTTTGAAGGGGCCCTAAAAGGGAGCCCTAGAAAAAGGGAGCTCGAAAAAGGACCCTAAACCCTAAAACCCAAAACCCCTAAACCCCTAGGCCCTAAACCGTAAACCCTATTAAACCCCAAAACCCTAAACCCCTAAACCCCTAAACCATAAAGCCCTAAACCCCTAAGCCCGAAAAAGGGGAGCCCGAAAGCCCCAAAAGGGAATCGAAAAATCCTCGGGTCGCCCACTAGGCCGGGGCTCCTGCGGAAGATGGGAAGCACCAGGCCTTGGCCCGTTTTTTCTAAGGGTTTTCGGATTTAGGGTTTAGGGGTTTAGGGGTTTAGGGGTTCAGGGTTTGGGAATTTAGGGTTTGGGGTTTAGGGTTTAGGGTTTTAGGATTTTAGGGTTTAGGGTTTAGTCTTTGGGATTTAGGGTTTGGGGGTTTAGGGGTTTAGCCGTTTGGGGTTCAGGGGTTCAAGGTTTGGGGTTTAGGGTTTCGGGGTTTAGGGGTTTCGGGGTTTAGGGGTTTAGGGGTTTAGGGCTTTAGGGTTTTAGGGTTTAAGGGTTTAGGGCTTTAGGGTTTGCTCTTTTTGGGGCTTTGCAAGGTCTGTTCCTGGTGATGACGTAATACATACATGTAATTTTGTTGGTATGTATTATGGCATATGATGATCTATTTTGATATGTTAGGATATGTTATGATAGAACAGTATGCAACATCTAACACCCGAAGCCCCCCCCCCCTCTCCCTTTCTTCCCCCGGGTGCCCCTGCCTTGCTTTTTTGTTCTTTGTGGGTGCCAGGCATGGCCACCAGGCGGCCAAGAAGGTGCTGAAGACCCTCACAGGCCCCGAGCATGAGGCGAGCGCCCAGGGTTTAGGGTTTAGGGTTTAGCGTTTAAGTGTGTGTGTGTGTGTTTTTGTTCTCCTGGGGTTCATAGGGATTTTAGTCAGTTTTTTTTCATGTGTTTTGATTTGGAAGGGTGGGTTTTTAGGATTTTCGTCGTATATTTTGCGTTTTAGATTTTTTTCAGCGGTTTCTAGGGTTTTCGGGTTTCAGGGCTGAGGGTTTCGGAGGTTTGGTTTGAACACTTCTGGGTGTTTCTTCCTTTTGCGGTTGTAATTATGAGGTTTCTTAGTATGAGGTGTTGTCTGTATTCAAGAAGCTTCAGAAGGGAGGGTTATGGTTAAGTTCCAAATACACAAGAGTTTCACTACCCGCCGCTACTGTCTTAGTCTGTTTCTGTTTCTGTACTAAACCCTAAACCCTAAACCCTAAAATGTAAACCCTAAACCCTGAAACGTAAACCCCTAAATTTGAAAACGCCCATGTCCTTCACCCTCCAGCCTCGAGCCTTCTTCCTCCAGGATGCGCGGTTTCAGCTTTATGGGGGCGAGGCAGCTGAGTGTGGGTCTCAGAGGAGGGGATTTCAGGGTTTCGGGTTTAGTGTTTAGGGTTCAGGCTTTAGGGTTCAGGGTTTCGGGTTTGACTTGACTTGCTTTCTGGGAACGGGGACTGTCACCCTGCTCGGTGGGGGTAGCATCATCCTAATGTAGAGTCCATTCATGGGAATGGGCGCCCTAGAGCAACATGCTTTTGCTAGGGATCCGAGTTTCGGGTTCAGGGGTTTGGGGGCTTTGGATGTAAGGTTCAGGGGTTTAGGGTCTTGGGGTTTAGGGTTCAGGGGTTTCGGGGTTTTTGGTTTGAGGTGTAGGGTTCAGGGGTTTAGGGTGGAGTGATGTCTTGGCTGCTGCATGGTCCTGTTCCCGGGTCTATTTGAAATAAGCTGCTCAACTGCTAGTAAGACCCATAAGATCCCCCACCTTAAGCGATAGAACTCGAGGCCGAAGCATACTGTAACCCCTGTGCCCAATGCCCTGTGCCATCGGCACCCTAGGCCTGAAACGCTTTACCACGGAAACCGCAAACCTAGACCCGAACCTTTAAACCCTAAACCCTTCATTCTAAACCCTAAACCCCAAGCCCGTCCCAAGCTCTAAACCCTAAGCCCTAAACTTTAAACCCTAGACCCGAACTTCTTTAGGCCCCAAGTCCAGGCCTGGGATCTCAACCCTCAAATCCCCAAACTCCAAGCCCGGAACCGTGAACCCTAAGCCAGGAACTGCGGCACCTTTGACCAGGCACTGACGATCTACAAGATCTTTGATTTGGGCTTTGGGGGTTGGGTCTAGGATTTGTGCTTTAGGGTTCGGGAGTGCAGAAGACTAAGCACATCACAGGTTCCATTGGCTTTGGGGATTTACATAGTCAGTGGCACTGAGCTCCATGAAGATGATGGCGGTGATGATCGTCTTCTTCAATGTGTTTCGTTGTCGTCGTCCTCCGCAATGTCAGCCAACATCGTGTATCATGATGATATTCGTTGTCATGGTCACACACATCGCCACAACCCTTTCTGCCTTTGTTTTGGTCGCAACGTCACAGCCACTGTCTTCATCATCCACAGTATCACGTGCATTGGCATTCAGCATCAGCATTTCAGCCTTACGGTGTGACTGTTCCATCGTCTTCACCTGCAGCACCATGTCTGGTGTCTTCATTTACGCCACCATCAAGTTTGTCACCGCGACCCTCATCATCGGTAAGCAGCAGCATCATCATCGTGTTCGTCATCATCATCATCATCACCATCGTCATCATCACTGCCAGGAACATTATCAGTACCATCAGCACCGTCATTCTCATCATCAAAAGCATCACCGCAATGATCAGCGTAGCATCATCATCATCATCGTCGTCGTCGTCGTCAGCATTCTCATCATCACTGCTACCATCGTCACCGCGACCATCTTCCGATGATCGTCATCCTCCCCGTCCTTCGTTTGGGTCGTGGCCGTCGTCACCATCATCTTCACTAGCTTCTCCATCAGCGTCATATTTGTCAGAGTCGTCTAGGTCTGGTTCATCATGAGCCTCATCATTGTCATTTCGGTGTGTATTGTGATCTCCGTCGTCAGCTTCAGGAGCATCATCGCCTTCATTTTTGTCATCATGTGATCTTGGTTGTCGCACTCACAGGCACAGCGAAACAGCAAGCCAGCTCCATAACCATCATAGGATAATATTTGGCAGAAAGTGATCGCAGCAGAATGGCGCCAGTCGGGCGACTGTTAGGGGCTGCGGGATGTCTACGGCACGGCACCAAAGGGATACTGTCTGGCAAGCACTCTGCGGAAGAAGCGCGTGAAGCACCCGATGACGTGATCAGGCGACAATCAGTGGCCAGATCGTCGTCAAGCATCAGCATGGCTACCTCCCAGCGAATGAGTGGCCCGAACGGTCTTTCAGCAAGGGTGTGTGTCCTCTTGGTTGTCCGCCGGGCTTGCTACAGCTCCTTATTTTGCAGTTGACGGTTTGCGCATTGATTGTCTTCGAAGGCGGTCACTTCTGACTCAGCTAGTGCTTCCGCCTGATGTCGATGTGTCCGTCAACGATTTCGTCGGAAGGATGGCGAACATTCACATGTTTGTGCAGGTATAGCAAAATGCCTTTCTATGGCATTTCCGGCCTCGTCTGCAGTGGGCTATTCGTCATCTGGGTGCTGCTCTGCGTGCGATGGTGGACCGATTTGCAGGGTTCGCTGCAACCGCATGCCTACCCCGCTTGACAGTGACATGCTTTGTTAACTGTGGTAATTAGATCGGTCGTCGTAACATGACAATAGCAGATATAGCAGTCATCGTCATGATAGTGGTGATGGCAGTATTGAAATCAGCACCGGCAGCAGCAGCAGCGGCGGCGGCGGCGGCAGCAGCAGGAGCAGCAGCAGGAGCAGCAGCAGGAACAGCAGCAGCGGCAGCACCGCCACCACGCTGAGCAGCGTTTTCTCTTGATGACCACTTACAGTATACTAAGGCTTCTCTCGCCACCTAGCTGGTTTCTTATTGGGATCGTCAATCTCGTCTTTTTGTTGGTTCTTATTCTTCGAGCTATGGGTTTTTGTTGCTGTCACCCCGCGGCTTTTTTGCTGTGGCCAGAAATCCGAATCCAAACCCTGTATCTAGGGGCCTTAATAATTGGAATAGGGTTTTGGGGTTCCTGATTATAACTGTAGTATATGTACCCCCAAACCTTATTCTAATTATTGAGGTCCCTGCATTATACGCACCGAAACCTCTAAACGGGCCCCATGAACTGCGCTACTGTAACTCATCCCGTATCAGCAACCCTCTGAGGCATACAGACCTTCCAACCCTGGATGTTGTTACAGTTTCGTCACGAAGCCAGAGCTCAGGCAAGGAACGGATCGCCCCGAAGCTTAACTGCCCTTGCGGATGATTCCGCTAAACCTAGCCCAAGAACAGAGCTTTCAATCTGGGCTTAGGGCTTTCGTCTTATGCCAGACAGCTTTATGTGGGTAGTTCTCCAATACCGCGACACCCCTTTGCAGAGGACCCTAAAAGGGACCCTAATGTAGATAACTGCCCAAATGCACGTGTTTTTTCAGCTTAGATAGAGCTTCCAGTTTTTTCAGGACGCAGCTCTTCAACATCCACCTCTGCATTGCTGCGGTCTGCTTCCTGGCAGTAGCCGAGGCTGGCATCTGGTACCTCTTCCTGATAGACTGGAGCCTGGGCCAAACCTGTGCAAAACCTACTTTTTTTGGGAGGTCCTTCTACATTCTATGTCAGGGTTTCTAGAAGAAAGATTTAGGAATCGGCGCAAAAAACCCTAAACCTCAACCGTTAGCCTTCAAACCTAGACTGTAGACACTAAAGACCACGAGAGACTCTTTTGAGGGCTCGTTGAGCAAATCCGAAACCCCCCGAGAGGAACAGCAGCGGCATTCACAGCAACTTCCTTTTTGCCTCTGCCGTCGTCTTCTCCGTGACGAGGTGGCTTTGGGTTTCCGGAAAACTCACTGAGGTAGCAACTTGTAACACAGTAGCGGTGGCAGTATCTTAATGATACCAAAAATGGATGCTGGCGTTTTGTTTATGGCCAACGCAGTGAAGTATCAGAGTCTGTATGGGGCGGACGTATGTTCATTGTGTTCGCGCAGTTCGCACTTTCGTTCAGTGACTGGTCTGCGCAAGCAACCTCCAAAGCCCTGGGCGCTAAATGGCTTAAATCCTAAAAACCCGACAGCCCTAGGGGCCCTAAACCGGGTTTAGGGTTTAGGGACACTTAAATTGGCACTTAGATCTCTACAGTAGGGTCCCTCTTAGGGTCCTTTCTAATAGGTGCCGTACTATATTGGGGACCTAAAAAGGGACCCTAACTTAGAGAACTACCCATAAGCGGGTGTTGCAGAATTAGGTAGGAAGGACTCGCCCTGAGAGTAATGAAGCGGAGGTGTTGGGGTAGGTCCTAAACCCCAAAAAGTCGCGGGTCATGGTTTAGGGTTTAGGGTTCTAGATCCTAGAAATCCCACAAACACCTCAAACCAGACTGGAAATCTCCAAAATCCCGAAACCCTAAAATCCACCTCCTGCCCAATGCCGCCCGAAACCCTGAACCCCCTGGAAGGTCGACATCCTCTTACATGCTAGTGCTACTGGCCTGCCTGGGGTGGGGAGTGACGAAGCCTATCCTAGACGGCTCCACCATTTGCCGCATCCTTTGCCTGTCTTTCATCTACATCGTGCTCAATGTGATCCGGGAGATCGTGTCCCTTGGCCTGCTTGTTGTTTTAAGCAACCCCAAAGGCGGCGCAACATATGAGGGTATGTCCCAAAGCCCTGACTGCTATGGACCAACCCTGTAGGAGCAACTAGGAAGGAGTGCAGAGCTGCACTAGATTGAACCAAAGTTCCCTAATAAGCTTTGGGGTTTACGGTGCGAGGTTCTTTAGGGGGTCTGGAAGCCACCATCAGGGCCTCATTGATTGTCGGGTTTAGGGCTGTTGCTACTACTTCTGGTTTAGGAAGAGGGCTCTTTAGGTCTGTGGGCTTCATCATGTCCGGCTGGAGTTCGGGGAGTCTTCGTGTCAGAATTCTTTTCAGTCCCGGATGCTTTCCGGGAGAGCCTCCCACCCTGGCTGTGCGAGAATTCCGCGGGGGATGAGGATGATGATGTTGTTGTGAGCGCTGATCGCGTCGATGACGTTGATTATGGAGATGAAGATCACTTCATTGATCATGCGGTTGATGGCCATTCTGGTAAAGTGAATGATGCTTACAGTGACTTTGAAGAAAGTGATGCCGGCGAGGGCATCGAAACCGTTTCCAAATTCCATCTTTCTGTTTTGAGTACCGTGCCGGATGGTGATGATGAGCATTCTGGTGATGATAGCTTGCATGATGGAGGCGTGCAGGCAAGTCTGGAGATTGCATTGGCTATTACATCGGTGTTTACGCCGAGGATGAGGATGATGACGATGAGGATGATGATGAGGATGATGAGGATGATGACGATGATGATGATGATGATGTTGCTGATGATGATTCACCCTCACCAATCATCACTTCTGGGATGACGAAGATGCTGCCGGAGAGCCTAGTGATAGATGTTGAACTGTTGAACCATATGATGATCAGAATGATGCTGAGCAGCATGATAGGGATGGTAGAGCTGGTGATGATGGTGACGACGATAATACTGATGGAGGATGGCAGCGTGCGATTAGGATAATCAAGAGGGTCAGGATCTGGATCAGCAGAACCAGCGTTCAGTTGAGTGAGGACAGGAGGATAGCAATGATGATGGCAATCGCGATGATCAGGATGATGATGATGATGATGGTGATGATGATGATGATGGTGACGGTGGTGATGATTCAGCCTTGTTGAATAGAGACATTGTGCCCCCCCCCCCCCCACCGTCTTTTGCTCGCGTGGCTAAGGCAGGCGCGAGCTTGTCCTCCCGTTGGTGATAGCGGGGTATGATGGGAGTATCTTCATTACTAACTAAGCCCTTGTCTTTGTCCGCGGCCCTGCGCCGCCGCACCCTGAACTTAGGGGCCTGGTATGGTTTACCAAAACAGTGTGAAAGGCAGACAAGCAAAAGCCTTGACCCCAGAACGTATTACCTAATGTAGGGGCCTTAATAATTGGAAGAGGGTTTTGGGGCATATTCTACTATATTTATAATAAGAACCCCCCCCAAAAAAAAACACAAACGAAAACAAAAGTATTGGCAAATAGTTCGGCTGCCATATTACCCTAAGCCCCAGACCGTCCCCTGTCCAGGCTGGCCTACAGTCACTCCCAGGCCATTCCCATCCCATTTGTCCTCCTATGCCTCGTGCCTGTCTCCATTCTGAATGGCGGCATTTTCTATTGGCCCCGTGGCACGCGGTTTAGGGTTTAGGGTTTAGGGTTAAAGGGAATGCAGTTTAAGGGTTAGGGTTTAAGGGAATGCAGATTAAGGGAATGCAGCGAGAGGCATCGGCAACCTATCCTCAGCAGACCACTGCTAAATACACATGTTCAATCGAGTCGAAAGTTATAGTATCGCCATCAGAAGTCGTCTCGTCGCGGACGAGCTGTGGTCGGGACGGGGGCAACAGATATCATCAATCTCGGACTAGAATCATAGAATCCTGCATTCTTGAGCCTCAGCTTGCAAAGTTTAGGGCTTAGGGCTTAGCAAGGGGTTCAGGGGGTTTGGGTTTAGGGGTTTCGGCTTTAGGGGTTCAGGGTTTAGGGTATAGTCTCCATTGTAGTTCCTTTTTCGGGTTGCCGTATAGGATCCCAATTATAGAAGTGGTTAAACCAAGAAAAAGGAACTCAATGGAGACTACAGGCAGGGTTCAGGGTTTAGGGGCTCATGCTCAGCAATTGTTTCGAAACAGGGTCCGCAGTAGGGCTTTTCGGGCCGCTGGCAGCCGAGGAGGTCTTGCAGCACCAGCATAGTAGTAATCACAAGCATCGTGGCACCAGTGTTAACAGTGCTTTGCGGCTCAGATGTTTCTGTGTAGATTGAAGCTCAGCAATTGAGCTAAGTTCAGGAGATGATGACGGCCATACAGACGTCTCAGGAATTACTGCCACTATTCCCCAGGGTTCCTCAGGTTCAGTATACTTATCATATTCCCAACATCCTATTCTACTTAGCAAGGTCCTATCATGGGCAGGAGGGGGCTAGGCCCTGCAGCTCTTGGTCTGTCACGGTGTGTCACTCTTCTCTTGCTGCAATGAAGCTCTTCTACGACAAGGGCCTCCTGAGCATCTCTAATCTCCTAACCTCTGGGCCCTAAACCCTAATCCCTTAACCCTGAACTAGCCCCAAGCCTCCCAAAAAAACAGGGCATCAGCCCCCATGTACCCTAAACCCTCAACCCCTTGAACCCACGGGCTCTGACCTCACGCGCCCGAAGCCCGATGATGGAAAGGATTTAGGATTTCGGGCTTTCGGGTTTAGGGTTTAGGGGTTTGTTCAGGGTCTAGGATTACGGGGGGGGGGTTTAGGTTCAGGAGTTTGGGGCTGAGGAAGTTTCGGATAATAGAGCGATTTAGGGTCGGTGTAGGGTTTAGGTTTGTTGGATTTACCCCTAAACCCTAAACCCTAAACCCCTAAACCCTAAGCCCTAAACCGTAAAACCCCAAACCCTAAGCCCTAAACCGTAAACCCCTAACCCCTAGTTGGATTTAGGATTCGGATTAGGAGAGAGCTTCAGGATCTTCGTGGCTCTCACGGGGCTCATGGAGACGCGTCCTGACGGCCGTTATTTGTGTAGGAATCCACTCCCTAAACCCTAAACCGTGTGGTGTTGAACCCCCCAAAATCCTGTTTAGTTTGGAGCTCACTGGGTGGAGGCTTCAGGAACCTTGGACTCACTTGGTCTGGGATTGCGGATTTGCGGCTTAGGGTGTCCGGTCGAGGCTATCGGGGAATGCATGGTGTTTGCTTATTACTTCCAGCCAGTCTTAGTATCATGTCCCGTGCATGCGCCATCCATAGCAGTGCCACTGCATACAGGCAGGAAGACGCTGTGGATTTCAGTGGGCGAGGTTGGTGGATGCTAGCGCTGTACTTGTCAGGGTCAGGGCATGTGCAGGGGCGCTTCTAGTAGTGCTTCGCATTCGGGGTTCAGGATTCTGTGATCATTTCGTGTTCGGGTTCCTGTTTGCCGAGCCTGCCACCTAGATTCGATGGCATCTCAGATGATGGCGGCATACCCTTGCTACAGTCTCAGTTGATATCGCCGAGCCCTCAACCCCAAAGCACAAGCCGTAAACCCTCTCTCAGCCCCTGAATTCGGAACTCCAGGAGCCCGCAAGCCTAAACCCCCAACCCTCAGTATAAGACCTTTGTAACACCCTATCAGAGCCCATCTAAACCCTTTTCGATCCAGGGCCCCGTTATGAATCCCCTAGAACCCTAAACTCCTAAACCCTAAACCCTAAAACCCTAAAACCCCTACACCCCTAAACCGTCTCAATCCTTCGGATCAGCCCAAAAAAGCCGAGTGCTTGGCGAGGTTAGAGTCCCAAGGGCAGACTGAAAAGCTGCAGATCTTCAAGAAGCCTCGTGGCTCAATGGGGGTTTAGGGTTGAGGGGTTTAGGGGTTAAAGGGTTTAGGGGTTTAGGGGTTTTGGGGTTTAGGGTTTCAATGGGGGTCTTGGTAGAGTTCTACATAAGCTGAGAGGTTCAGGTTTTAGGGTCTAGGGAGCTGTGTTGAAGTTTGCGGTTGTAGAAGGGTCTTATTCTGAGTGATTGGGGATTTTGGGAGTTTGGGTTTCGGGTTTCGTGAACAGCAGAGGGGGGCTCTAGGAGTATAGGTTTGTAAGGGGTTTGAGCGTCAAGGGCCGGTTGGGCCTGAGGGCTTTAGGGTCTTAGTGCACTTCTGCTCCTTTGGGTCTCAGGGTTTTGGGGTTTTAGAGTTTAGGGATGTTGGGTTTACAACCCTAAGCGCTAAGCCCTAAACTCTAAGCGAGTCGCCTCATAGCGTGGCAGGGTTGAAAGTTAGGGCTCGCAGGCCGGGTTGCTGCGACGTCTCAAACGTGCGGCTGCTTCTGCTGTGACTTGGGGTCGAAGGGTTTAGGGTTTAGGGTGTGTATACAGTGCGCGCTTGGTGGGTGCGCTTTTTACTTTAGGAATAGGGGTGCACCCACTTCTCGCGCGCTTCCGCCCCATGCAACCACCCCAGCTATTCTCAACCAGAGTTTAGGGTTTTACCTCCCAAACACCCTTGAAGCGGGGCTTTCTTGCTCTCTGCTTCCCTTCGCAGTTCGACACTAAAACGGCCACATTTCACAGCAAACCACAGCTGAGATGGATTTGTCGGGTTGTGGGTCCTCGCGGCCTGTGCCGGCAGCTCGACGAGAAGCGAAACGGTTTCCACGAAACAACCCGCCCCTCGCACCCAAGGGGTTGTTCGAAGGGTAAACACCTATCCTGGCAGGGAAAGCCGCCGTGGAGAACCGGCCACAGAAGGCTTAGGGTTGGGAGCATTTCGATCTTTTTCCGGAAATGAGGCCGCGACCCTGGAGTTTTGTCTTTGGCCAATTTTGTTCGGCAGGTCGCTGTCTAGGACCGGTGTAGGACCCCCCCCCCCCCCTTCCCTGGAATCTGCCAGCCTGGGGCCCCAGACTCCCCTGACTCCCCGCAGCCAGACCCAAAAAAACAGAAATGACCCGAATGGTGCAGGGATTGGGGTCCTAATTTTGCCGGGCGCCCATGCAAATGGTCAGTGGCACTCTCGGCAGTTAAATTGTTTATGGTTTCGGGTTTAGGGTTTAGGGTTGGTGGCCTACTATGAAAATTGTTGATCCTCAGGCTCTGGACCTTAGACTCCCCACGGTTCGTTGGTTCACGTTTCTTCCCTTAAGGCCCCTGAGTGTGATTCTGCAGGCTTTTCTTTGCACTGCAGTTCATTCGGGATGGTTGAAGCCCTAGACTAGAACTGCCTGGCTTGCCGGAGAGCGGACCAAGAATTGCAAAGGTTCGATGTTCGGCCGCAGTCGCTGTCAGGCCGTAGCACTAAACACGCTAGTCCGAATACTACTTCGGCCCCTGTATCGGGTGCATCACAGTACCACAAGGCATAGAAACCGAAATCTGACCTTCTAAACTTATCCAAGCCCGCAAAACCCAAAGCCCTGAACCCGTAAAGACTATCCCATCATGGGGTTTGTCATTATGTTTAGGGCTTAGGGTTTAGGGTATAATCTTACATCCACCAACACCCAGTTCCGGTCACAGCAAAGCTTTGGTCTATTCTAATCACTACGGACCCTGCATCAAAGAACCCTTATAGACTCGAGGCTTTGGTGGATTCTGCTGATAGCCATCGCCTTCGCCGTGGGCGTTCTCATGGCGCAGGCAGCGTCAAGCCCTTGTAGCCGTAGCAGCGGCCCTATGAACCCTAAACCCCAAAGCCCTAAGCCATAGACATCTCTCTGTTGAGGTGTTCGTGTTCTCCCGAGACTTCCCGGCGCGATGGGAGGAGTTTGCTCGAGAGCAGCGAGCGCTGTTGCATTTTCCTTGATCTTACATTTGGATTTCTGAAATGTTTCTGTATCCATGCCAAGACCCCGTATGGGTCCGAGTCGTAAGAGCGAAGGTCAGAAAGCCACGCATATAGTTTCATAGCAATGTTAACTCACTGATGCGCGCACGTTTGTTTCTGATTGTCCAAAAGATCCGGAAGTTGATTGCGTGGTGCTCAGGAGCAGTGGATGTTTACAGACGGTGCTCCGCAGGCAGTGGAGGGTCATGGTCAGGAAAAGTGTCTTACCAGCAGCATGCTTTAACGTTGAAACGAAACACAGATGGCACTGGTCGTGTCAGTGTACACTTTGTGGATGCGAGATCCGAGATAGTTGAAGGATACTGAGCCCCGCAACTGCCGTCAGACTACCTCTCTCAAAATTCGGTGTCCATGTTGCAAGTAAGATTGAACCGGCGCTCCACCTCTCAATCCATAAAGTGACTAGAGTGACTGAAGAAGCCAGCTCGGGGCCTGCAGCCTACCGGGTTAATCCGGAATCCAACCTTAATGCTTTGAAAGCAGCAGTCGCATCGAAACCCACGCATGTAGCAAGACTTAAAGTAACAGCTAGAAGCTAGAATGGAGATGAAAGCACGGCATGAATGTATAATCGTATATATGTATATATACATACACACATACATACTTGTGTAATTGTCTACAAATCGTAGAGTTCCTTTTGGAGGGTGGGTAGGAACAAGAATGCCTTCATCCAAGATCCATGCATCCAAAATACGTGTCGACTGGGAGGTGGGCTACGTTTGCGTGCTGACTGCGATTATGTGCCTCTGGGCACCGAACGAAGACAGCAGCCTGGTGGCAAACCTCAGCATGATAAATCTTGTAAGCCCTAAATGCCGCAAAACTTTCAGAGCTCAAATGGCTATTGATTGCTGCGTTTTTTGTCAGACCAGGTTTGGAAGGACTGGGGAGGGTTACTCGGGGCTTCGGAACCTCAGCCCTGCACAGAAAATCAGGGACCGAAGGAATCCGTTGCAATCTGTGACTTGATTGAACAATAGCACTCCGGGATGCCTTGTTCTTGCTCCCAAATAAAGGCTACGATGCTGTACGTGTCACAATCGCAGTCGTCATCATCTCCATCACCACCACTACCATCACCATCGTCGTCATGATCATCGTCATCACCATCACCATCATCATCGTCATCGTCGTTATCGCCATCATCACCATCACCTTCACCATCGTCGTCATGATGATGATCATCATCATCACCATCATCATCGTCATCGTCGTTATCATCATCATCATCATCATCTTCATCTTCATCATCATCATCATCATCATCATCACCTTCACCATCGTCGTCATGATGATGATGATCATCATCATCACCATCATCATCGTCATCGTCGTTATCATCATCATCATCACCACCATCATCATCGGGATCATCGCCATCATCACCACCATCATCATCATCAGTGAGGTTTCTGAGGCTTGCCATCAGCCGTTTTGGGCACTGGTAGCCCCCTGTGTTTGTCTCCTGACATCGCGGACACAAAGGCCAACGGTTTGCTTACTCGGCACAAATCGACGCTAACGCGGACGACCAGAAGGATGGATGGGTGCTGGGAGTTTCTTCAGCTGCTTTCCATAGCTTCTGGTGTGCGGGAGAATATGTGTGACACACACACACACATACCCAAAGCCCTACGTCCTAAAGGAGACAAAAGCCAAGTCTGGGGTCATGAATTCTGTCCGGCTGGAGGACTTTGCAGGGTCCCTTTTGTTCTTGGGGCCACAAGCACAGGGCGGACCTAGAAATAGCCATGCAGCAGCAGCTGCAGTATGACAATGATCACGGTACTACGGGATACTACTGTTGAGCTCAGAAGCAGCAGCAGCAGCAGGAGGAGTAGTAGTAGTAGTAGGTGGTCAGTGAGCCGGAACTCTCCTCTATCCTGGCCGCTTTTCCATGCCTTGCTTTGCAGGAGAGCGTCATTGCACAGGCCGAGGCCGCTGTAAGCACCGGACATTACTACTGTTCGGGTTCGGTTTAGGGTTCAGGGGTGAGGGTTTAGGGTTTAGGGTATTACTACTATTCGGGTTCGGTTTAGGGTTTAGGGGTGAGGGTTTAAGGTTTAGGGTTTGGCGTTTGGGGAAAGTTTGGAGTTCAATATGTCAAGCTTCTTGGTTAAGGAAACGATCGGTTTTCGTCAGTGGCTATGATTCTTCGAGTTGCTGCTCTGTCTTCAAAGTTTGGTGGAATTCGGGCTTTGGGTGATTTGGGGGCATCTGATCTCTCGAGACCTTGGGGCTTGGGCTTCAGGTGCTGACCTGAATGCTTCCTAACCTAGCGAGAAAGGGCATGTAACAACAAATAATGGTGCTTGGGGTTTAGGGTTTAGGGTTTAGGTGGGGGAAACCCAGGGCACGATAGACTATAGGGTTTCAGTACTTGCAAGTGGGCAGAGGTAAGACCTGGGTCGGCAGGAAAACTAAACAAAAGGCCCAGTCTGGTCCAAGCTTTGCCCGACAGTTCATCACCGTAAGCCCGTGAGGACACCCCACACCCTAACCCGTAAATGCACTGATAGCAGCAACTGTCGACCAGCGTAATCTATGTCTGTGTGAAGTTGCATTTAAACATGTCATTCTCAGTTGCGCATTTCGGATGTGACTGACATGCACAGAGCCTTATGTAGCACAGCTTCTGCTGCTAGTTCCATGAATCTCCAACCCCATCTTAAGCCTGAAAGCCCTAGTTAACCACAAAAAAATTGTCCCAGACGCCAGTTGTAATAGCATTAACTACACTATAGTTGATACCTGAAAGCTTCCCGCCCGGAAGATTTGCAAGACCATCTTATCGCTTAAGCTTTAGGCCGGCCGGGGATTGCGGCTCAGGGTTGCTTCGGGTTCCTGACTCGCTTCACTAGAGCCGGTGGCCTCTTGGAGTTCCCGAATCAGGTTTCAGGCTCAGGGTTTAGGGATTAGGGTTTAGGGTTTAGGGTTTAGGGTTCAGCGTAGGCTCAGACCGTATTGATTTCCATGAGCTTTCTGGTCGCGCCCTCATACTTCGTCAAGGTTTATACGACACGTGTTCTTTTTGTTTGTTAAGTTTTCATCATGTTCATATGATATACAGTAATAAACATATTATATATATATACCTATATCTGTATATATGGTTACAGACAGACAGATAGATGGATAGATAGACAAATAGAAAGGTAGATAGCTAGATAGATAGGTAGACAGTTAGACAGACAGACAGAGACAGACAGACAGACAGACAGGCAGACAGACAGACAGGCAGACAGACAGACAGACAGATAGATAGATAGATAGGAAGGTAGATAGATAGACAGATAGATAGATATAGATAGTCCGATGGAAATAGATAGATAGACAGATAGATAGATATAGATAGACCGATGGAGATAGATAGAAAGATAGAGGTAAATAAGTGGATAGATAGAGAGAGTCATAAGTACACATGTCCTGAATTCACACACACACACATGTAAATATATTAGAGGCTTTTGGGGTTTCACCGCTTGAAGCTCTTCGGTCGACACCTCTTAGTTCACCAGACACGAACCTTTCACAGAGAGCCCTAACCCAAAGGGTCCAAAGTACCTATATAGTAGAATGTTTCTATTTTAGGAATTACTATTATGATTTGGGAAAGTATCCCCCCTAACAGTACCTAGGACCCTTTGGGTAAGCCCTATAGGCAGTAGTTTGCCAGCAAGGGTTAAAACCGGCGAGCGGCTGCGAATCAAGCGATATTATATGCGCGTTATGAACATATTGTATCATAGTCCAATGTTATCTGGCATGATACTAAACTCTTCTTATACACGAACCCCCAAGGCCTTGTTCCCTCGACAGTTGCTGCCCAGGGCATCTCTGACGATGATGTGGACGTAATTGGCGCGAAAGGCTGAGAACGGATGGTCAGACCCTTATAAGAATTTGCCACAAAGAGCCACCAACAACCCCTCATCTCCATTTATACGAACATCCTGAACTCATAATATATTTGCTAAGCCTTGAACCCTTTTACCCTGGAAACCACCGCACGAGCCCCTAAAACCACCCTCCGCTCCACCGCGAAGAAGGAGCCTAAACCCTAAAGCCCTAAACCAACCTAAACCCCTTAAACCATCTAAAACCCCCTTACACCCTGAACCCCTTAAACCCACTACCCTAAAACCGACCACCTTGGACTCCGCCTTACTTCTGTAGCTTGTGAGGCGAAGATGAGGCACCCAGGGGCTGGAAAGCGGAGGCTCTGTCCTAAAGTAGGATTAAAGAGCATCGAAGACTCCTGAAGTAGGTATAGTAGGATATAACAAGGTTTAAGACCCCTGGAGTTGGGTTCAAGAGTGCAAAAAGTAAGTAGGGTCTAAGTTTGTTTTGATTGGGTCAACTCGGTCCAGGATGTGCGCAGCTTTCCGTGAAAAACGTGTTACGGGATGGTCTACTTTGCCGTTCCCTTCTGGACATTGTTTAGCCTGGCTTTAGTGCACCGGAATCTGAGGTTTCTGTGTTAGGTTTCCACCTGCACGTTGGATGCGAGCAAGTCGTTCCTAATTCTCATCATATCCGATGGCGCCGTAGCCGCATTGGCATATGAACTTCATCAACACGACCAGCGCCGCCGTCATCAAGATTACTATCACCACCGTCACCCTCATAATATGCTGCAGCTTTGATTTTTTGTTGTCATAATTCTCTTTAACTCTGCAATGATTATGACCATCGTCCATTTTCGGACTTTCCATCCGTCCAGACAGCTCCAAAAACACCAAGACAATCATCAGCAACAGTACAATGTCAATCATCACTGAACTACCTCAATCCTGAAATCCTACATCCTGCAGCCCTCGCACCCCAAACTCTGAAACCCTAAGCCCTCAACCCTAAACCCTAAACCCCTAAACCCTAAACCCTACACCCTAAACCCTAAGCCCTAAGCCCTAAACCCTGCGCTAGCCGTGAGAGAGAATGCCTCCGCACCTGGGGCCCCAGCTCCATAAGCGCAGCTCGGCGCTTGCCCGCCAAGAAGCTACTTGTGTTACTTTCCGGGGTCTCAGATGACATGTAGGACCGAGGGTTTAGGGTCGGAGACCCCTGTTTGAGGGCTTGTAGGGCTGAGTGAAGATGTGCGGAGCATCAGAGTCGAAGAGAGCTGGAAGCCAGGATTGCTTCCAGCTGCGCGTGTATTCACAGATAGGTATGACTCGGCAAGAGACTGATTCAGGCCACTTGAAAAGCATCGCGGTACAATCGTGGGCCTTGCTGGGGTAGTTTGGCAGTGGCAGCAGTTTTCTTGCGTTTGCTGTTGCTGCTGCTGCTGCTGCTGCTGCTGCTGCTGCTGCAGTCGTTGCTGTCGTTGAGTCAACAATAATACCCTATCCCAGACCCAAACAAAGAAGAACGACAATTGGTGTATAACGAGATAAAAACATATATGTATACTGTATATACATGTATGTGTATATGTATATATATGTACACACACATACACACATATACGTATTTGTGTGTTTCTGTTTGTGTATATATATATATATGGAGATATAACGAAGATAAGGTTTAGACTCTTGAGCTAGTGCTGTGTCAGTGCTGCATCCATAAATCTTGCTCACGAGCATCCATGATGCATGCGTATCCGGGGCAGTGGAACAACAAGATGTTCAACCTGATTGCAGTTTAGTATCTTGCCACTTGCTGTGTTCTTCGTAGCATACGATGTCCTAAACCCTAAACTTACCGCTAAGCCCTAAATCGTTTTATGGTATCTGCAACTCGGCTGCTGCGTCCTTTGCGAAAATTGCATTGCACTGTTCTCGGCGTCTCTGTTTCTTGATGTCTGCGACTAATTTCCGCTGTGTCCAGTAGAAAGACAGCGTCGCACAAGGCTTAGTCTTATTCGCAAGCGCTTTTCGTTTGCAAGGTTGTGGATCTTTTTCACTGGTTGTGTATCTCATATTCGTATCGATTTTGTGAGCGGTTCTTTGGGCGCTGCTGTGTTG